GCAGCACAGTAACAAGAGCTGATAAAGTTCACAGTCACCAAGGTGCGATTGCCAGTCTGAGGGCAGCCTTCCACAAGAACTGGAGCAAGGTCCTACAACACCTTTATCAGGAGCAGTGGCTCTTGCCCCAAGCCTGCCATACAGTGGGTATCTTTACAATACTGAACGCTGCGACCTGGGCCATGGATTCTTTTCCTGGTGTAACTTTTATAAGCTGCTTATTCCTTAATTCGTGCTCTGTACTGTGTCTTCTCTAGGCATTCCTCCGTTTATATACTAAGATATAGTTATATATATATGGGAATAACTGAGTGGTAAGATATTTTTTAGGCACTCATTCTATGAACTAATTATATGTGATTATATAGAGAGGATTGTATTAAGGGAAATAACAGTAGTAACACTATAAACTGAGTGTTTATATTCTCCAAGCACCAATTCTGTAAAATAATATATGATTATATAAAGGAGTATATAAAAGGAAATCATTGAGTAGTAACACTATAAACTGAGATATCTCCAGGTCTTATCTGTGCCAGGATTCTGCTTGGCTCTCCTTCCTCGGTGCCTATACAGGGGTTCCCCACATTGTACTCCTTTTATTCTATCACACTTCTCTATGACTATCCACTCTTCATCTAACCTACTTTAAAAAAAAAGAAAAAAAGGAAAAAACCCTGAGGTTTAGTTGTGTCCATAGGCCTTCATTTCCTTTGGAACTCACTGCCGTCATGTAAAACTGACATTAGATAACTAGGTATGCTGTTCTCTTGTTAGTCTGTCTTTTGCTGTAAGGGTCTCAGCAGTGAACCTAGGCTGGGTGAGGAAAAGTCATATTTCCTCCCTTACGTGTACAAATATCTTCCACTTTAAAACTATACAAATTTTATTGAGGCTGATTTGAAGCAAGAAATTGAATCACTAATTCCCTTCGGATGAGCTGAAGAGATGAGTTAATTAAGTCCCAGTTCCTCCCAGAGAGAGATGGGGTTTTGTTTTGTTTTGTTTTTTGAGACTGAGTTTCACTCTTGTTGCCCAGGCTAAAGTGCAGTGGTGTGATCTCGGCTCATCGCAACCTCCACCTCCCAGGTTCAAGTGATTCTCCTGGCTCAGCCTCCCAAGTGACTGGGATTACAGGCATGCACCACCATGCCGGGCTAATTTTTGTATTTTTAGTGGAGATGGGGTTTCTCCGTTTTGATCAGGCTGGTGTTGAACTCCAGACCTCAGGTGGTGATCCTCCCACCTTGGCCTCTCAAAGTTCTGGGATTACAGGTGTGAGCCACCATGCACAGCCAGAGAAACACTTCTATAGCTCATTCCCTGAAGTTCCTTGAGGGTCAAACCTGCTGAAGATTGAGGGGCCTTCCTGGGACCTCCCACCCCAGGAGATCACTGCTGGTGAGAGGATTGTCACAGTCTCCCTGGGAGGGTGCATGGCCACTGGAAAGTATCACTGCTGTGACTTCGATACAACCAGTTTTCATCACATTTGCTCTTTCTGTTTGTTTTTTTAAAGATGGAGTCTCACTCTATCACCTGGGCTATAGTGCAGAGGCACAATCACAGCTCACTGCAACCTCTGCCTCCTTGGTTCAAGTGATTCTTCTGCCTCAGCCTCCTGAGTAGTTGGGATTACAGGCACACCACCTTGCCGGGCTAATTTTTGTATTTTTAGTAGAGACGGAGTTTCACCATGATGGCCAGGCTAGTCTTGAACTCCTGACCTCAGGTTCTCTGCCTACCTTGGCCTCCCAAAGTGCTGGGATTACAGGTGTGAGCCCCGGCACCTGGCCACATCTGCTCTTTGTGCACTGCTGCAGGGAACTACAAGAGCGAACATGGAAATGAGAAACAGATCCACGCTCCTTGACTGTGCCTGATATGCAAAGTGCCACATGGCAGGCACAGCTGACGAGTGTGTGTAATTACTTATTTAGACCTTACAGGCCAAGGTCGCACCATCGTCTTCATCTTCCATATGTTGTATTGGACCGAACATAGGAAGTCCACACCAAGACAAAAGCATGCCAAATTGCAGGGTTTATTGCCGGCGACCACTGAGGACTCATGTCTCTCCAACCCGTGGCAGAGAAAGAAGGGTGACAAGACCTTTTTATACCTGCAAAACCACCTTGGGAGTGGAGGTGAAGAGCAGAGATGGGGATGAAAGCTGTCAATCACCTCCTAGGCTGAGACGAGGGTGAGGGGACTCCGGACATTCCGAGGGCCAGGGGACTTTTGTCATTCCGATTGCCACTTAAGTGGTTTACAGAAGTCAAGATAAACATTAGTTTATACATCATTTGGACAGGTGTGGGGTCCACATAATTTTAGGTTGCTTGGCACCAGGATGGAATTATCTGGGGGTGCTTACTCTGGTCAGTACCGGTAAACAAAGGCCAGCAATTCTGGCAGTTACAGATAAGAGAAGGTATGCAGCTTTACCTCTCTTTGCATTTTGCAATGTAAACTTAGCAGTTTACAGAGGCCATGGCTAGCAGTCATTGTGAGACGAATAGAAACAGTTTTGTCTCTGTATAAAATGGCATTGTACCGGTTCTAACTCTAGGCCAGCTATATCACACATATGAGAGGACTGAGATGCAGAGATGTTAAGTAACCTGCTCAGGGTCACTCAGGTCAGATTTCTTTGACAGTCATACTTTTCCTATGTCAGGTTTTTCTCACTGTCGTAGTTTTTGCAAGGGCACTTTCATCAGGAGCAGTACAAATGCAGTGGTTCTCAGAATGCCTTCTGGAGCCAGGCAGCCTTCAGTTCAAATTCCTACTTGCAAATTCTCCTTCCCTGGCTAAGTGACCCTGAGCATTGCACTTGCTGCTAACCTCCAACCTGCCCTGTCTATTCCTGGGCATAGGCCAGGCTAAATATGGGAGAAATTTACTTTCAACTCTAAGTCTGAAGCAAAGATGTTAACGGCCCCTTCCTGAGACAAACTCGTCCCTTTCTTGGGCATCAGAGCTCCTTAGTAAAGCTACCAAATTAGCCACAAGATTGAAAATTATGGCTCAGGAGCCATGCAGCCAGAACCCACATGATTCCTAGGCTCCCCAGTAGTGCCTATGGATAACATCATTCGTATAAAACCTAAGATTGGTATTCAAGGTATTTTTCAGACCCAGCCTTATGATGAACTAGCTGGTGCCACCCAGACAGATAAACTGGCTCATCTGGTCCTGTGGACCCCACCCAGGGACTGACTAAGTGCAAGAAGACAAGGTCCAACTCCCTGTGACTTCACCCTCAACCCAACCAATCAGTTTTCCCCATTTCCTAGGCCTCTGCCGGCCAAACTATCCTTTAAAAAAACCCTAGTCTCTGAATTTGGGGAGAGACAGATTTGAGTAATAATAAACCTCTATCCTGTTGCTTAGCTGGCTCTGCATGCATTAGATTCTTTCTCTATTGAAGGAAGCCTGCTGTTCTCAGCCCCATTGACTTTTCTGAGCAACCAGCATAAGAGAAAAAACACAAATGGCACATATGCTTGAGAAGAAATGTAAGTCTGTGTATCTCTTTTGAAGAAATGCAAAAGGAGGAGGAATGATATGACAGGCAGTACACTGTCCTAAATATTTTCACGATTCTCCTGCCTCCCCCATATCCTTCTTCTCCCAACAACTATTCCCCAGAAACCTTCAACTTAAACACGATTCCTGCCAGACTGGGTTTGTCCTCCCCTTTACATTTTCCTCTCACCTGCCCCACATGCCTTCCATATCTAATCTGTTCTTTCACTTCCAGGTCATTGAGTTTTTCCATTTAAAAATATAAAAGATACAGAAAGAATAAGATAACCAGTCATCCATATTTCCACCACCTGGAATTAAGTACCACTTGCACATGTACATAGTGTTCTTCCAAACCATTTTAAAGTGACTCTCTTTTTTAAAATCATACATGCTTAGCATAGACTATACCACCAGTATAGAGAAAGTACAGATATGTAAGATTTCTGATCATCTTAAGTTCAAAATCACTTTTGTTAACATTAGGGCAACGCTGATGGAGTCGTGTTCTTCTGGTGTATCTACAGAGAGAATAATGTATATTTTAGATAGACTGTCCCCTGCCCGCCCCGTAGGGAAAAAAAAATCAATAAAGGAGGCCATATATAAATACATGTTTTTGTAAAATTGAGCTTAGACTCTATTTTTAGTTTACTATTATTTCATTTAATAGTGCGTGAACTTAACTGAAGACAATAAGACAGAAACAAAAATGAAGGAATTCCTGAACTCCCGATCACACTTAGAGACACTTTTCTAAAGGAATCCTCTAAAGGATTAATGTTTAATACGTTAATTAATAATGTGTAATACATTACATTAAGGCGAAGGCGTTAGGATTCGCAGTGGTTTTCTTTTGTTGTTGGTGGTGGTGGTTTGTTTTTTGAATCAATATGGTTTCTCTCTGATATTGAAGGACTTTCAATTTCAAGCGGAATGCTACATCACCAGGATAACCATATGTGAAAAGAACCAGTTTTCTTTGTAACCCTAAGCATTCTAGTCTGCGAATTAAAAGCCATGATTTGAAGAAGGGTGCACAGGTTCCAGTTGGCGGCCGAAAGTGTCCTCGGCAACACAGGATAAGGAGGCGCTTCTTTGGGAGAAAACAGACATGGGGGAGGGAGGGAGACGCCGACGGTCACTTCCCCCTCCAGCTCCGACTGCGGGTTGGTCGGCTGAGAGGCGGTGGAAGAGATTGGGACTGGAAAAGGCACTGTCGGTGACATCACGGATAGGGGCATTTCTATGTAGATGAGGCAGCGCAGGGGCTGCTGGTTGGCCACCTGCTGCTTCCCAACGTAGGAGTTCCCCGCTGTGGGAGCCAGTCCAGGACCGCCGGTCAGAGCCGAGAGCCCCAGCTGTGTGTCAGGGCTAGGAGGGCTGGGGGAGCAGTGCCCGCGGCAAGTGACCGTGAATGTAAAGGGTGAGACGTATGAGGCTGTGGCGGGGCGGAGGCGTATGAATTCATACTTGTCTGGCAGGAAAAATACCATGATTACGAAGGTGGTTTTTCCAGGGCGAGGCTTATCCGTTGCACTCCAGATGTGCTGATCTCTGCGATTTTCCGAAAAGTGGGAAACTCAACTGCATGATTGGTGGTAGTGGGAGACTGCGTTCGCACTTTCCCCCCTTTTTTTTTTTTTGTGGTTAACGAAGAAAAGTTGCTCCAAGGTTGGTTCTCATTTGTTTAGTTTTCTTATTTCGGGGGTTGTCGAGCTATATTCTAGTTGCTAAGGCTGGAAAAGAGTGAGAACGGTGTTGCTGTCTTTTCTGCTGTAGAATTAGGGAGCCGACCGTGGTGACATAGTTTATACAACCTACTATCGCGATGGCTACACGCGTATTTCTACCTGCGCGGCTTCTGTTTACAGAGGTTGCTCCACGTCTCTCGACTCTTCACGCTCTTTGAGAACATTTGCGTTTTTCCCTACCCCTCAAGTCACCTTTTAGAATTCCCGGGATTTCTGTGCTGCCAAGGAATGGGTTCTCACTTCATAGGGCCAGGTAGGATCAAAGCGGTGCCTTTCTCTCTTAGTGTCCCCTTCGGGGGACATAACACGCTTACTTCGTGTAGGGGAACGACTCTGCCAGCGCCCAGGTTCCCTTGTGCAGATTCATCGAGGCCCACAGGTCAGAACCACAATCCCACCGTGTCCTAGCGGAAATGCGCTGCCATCCTCCATGAAATAGAGGCCGGGACGTTTGATGAGGAGCTGGTCTAGTTTCCCGACTATCTCGTGTCGTTTACATAGCTCGTCTTTCTTCAGACTTCACTTAAGTGGTTTCGCTTCCACATCCTACATCCATTGCCAGGCAACTTTCTAGATAGCACCCTGACCCATCCTTCCCACCCCACCCCCCAGCCGCCTCTTCCTATTTCTGCCGCCTGTGTCCTCCCCGTCCCTTTCTTCAGCCCCTCGATTATCACCTTCATGGACGGAAAATACTTAGCTCTCTCTCAACCAGCGGTTTGCACCTGACACGCATCAAATATCCCTTCTCAAATGGCATTGTAAATTCATCTCTTTTTACCTTCCACAAGTATCTCATTGGTTCTGTCCCCGCACTACGTGAACACGAAAATTTCACCACACAAGAAAGCCCCAGGCCTAGTGATGGCCATTCTGGGCACTTTGCCAGCCTCTCCCGGGGTGTGTTTTCTGACCCCACACTTTTCTGATTTGTAATGTCCTGGTGAATAGAAACTACCGGGCCCAAACTGAAAACACGGGGAGAATGGGGTCGGGGTGGGTGCTGAGTGTGGTGTGTGTGTGTGTGTGTGTGTGTGTGTGTGTGTGTGTGTGTGTTGCGGGGAACGGCGGCCTATGGCGTCCCCTGGTGGCTACCCCGGGAATGGCACTCATAGATCCGCATGTCTGGAGAAGCCTCTGCCATTCCAACCAGGGTGCGGGTGCAGAAACCCGCGGCTCCAAACAAAACCGGCCAGAACGCACAGGATGCCGAGTGAGTGTTCAGGACACTGCGAGTGGAAGCCATATGTCCTATGAACTGACGTAGGTCAGCATGTCCCTCTTTGCCAGAAAGGCTCATTCCTGGATAGTCCTGTCCCACGCTGGGGACAGGGGAGGAAAGGAGCCGCCTCTCTGAGGAATTTTTAAGAGTACCCAAAAGTCCAATGGAAGGGGCATTACAACCAGGTGTAGTGGCTCACAGCTGTTATCCCAGCACCTCACAAGGCCGAGGTGGGTGGATTGCCCGAGTCCAGGAGTTCCAGACCAGCCTGGGCAACATGGCAAAGCTCCACCTCTACTGAAAATACAAAAATTAACCAGGTGTGGTCGTATGTGCCTGTAATTCCAGCTACTCAGGAGGCTGAGGCATGAGAATCATTTAAACCTGGGAGGCGGAGGTTGCAGTGAGCCAAGATTGTGCCACTGCACTCCAGGCTGGGTGGCAAAGCGAGACTCTGTCTCAAAAAAAAGACAAAAAGAAAGAAAAAAGGGCATCACAGAGTGGCCAGAGAAAGAGAGAGAGAGAGGCCTCAGTTAAGTCTCCAGCTGCTGTCACTTGTTGAATCATCTCTAGTCTTCGGAATACCATGCAATTAGTTTTCTCAGAAGTAAAGCGATGAGAAACATGTAACAATAATGACATCGCACTTCATCATTCCATGCCCTTAGACATTTATAGGGCCATGGATGGTGATCTTTTCAAGAGACAAAAATAAACGCTGGTGCAGAACAGGCAAGTGCACTGTAATTTGAGTACATCCGCTTTTGGGCATTTAAATCATGGGTCACGAATTTAGAGCAAGAGGGCGGGCTGGATCCTGATAGTGGGAGGGAGTGTTTTTCTTTTAGCTTTCCAACAGCATCACGGTTGGTGTCGCTGTTGGTGTCACGGTTGGTGTCATGGTTACCACCGTTATTTTGGAGTGAAGTGATGATTTTTTGCTTGGTTGGTTTTTCACTTTATATTTTTATTATTGTTACTTTTTAAGATAGGGTCTCATTCTGTTGCTCAGGCTGGAGTGTAGTGGCAAGATCACAGCTCAGTACAGCCTTGTTCCCTTGTCCTCCAGGGCTCAATGGCTCAGCCTCCCAAGCAGCTGGGACTCAGCACACACCACCAGGCCCAGCTTATGTATTTATTTTTTGAGACAGGGTCACACTCTTTTGCCCAGGCTGGAGTGCAGTGGCATCATCAGGGTTCACTGCAAGCTTGAACTCCTGAGGTCAAGTGATCCTCTCACCTCATACCCCTGAGTAGCTGGGACTACAGGTGAGCACCACCACACCCAGATAATTTGTATATATTTTGTAGAGACAGGGTTTCACCATTTTACCCAGGTTCATCTCAAACTCCTCGGCTCGAGTGATACTCCTGCCTCAGCCTCCCAAAGTGCTGGGATCACAGGCAGTTATTTTGACAGTATGATTATATGGATTAAACTGACATTAGGATGTCTCAGACAGATCTGATAAACAGCTTTTACTTGATATGACCCTGAATTGCATTGTGACTGCGATGAGGTGGAACGCCAGTGAAATTTAGCAGAGGATGTACCAATAGGTCATTATGTTCAAAAGCGGTTTGTGGTTCTGAGTGGTAAACCTGGCACCTTATCAAATTTCCCACATTGCCAATAGTTTGTGAGATTCTGATTTGAGAAGTATCCCTCCATGCTGTAATCACATTAATTAGGGACAGTAAAACAGAAACCTGATCAGACACATTGTGCTATGTATGTATGTATATGTATATACACACATACACAATAGGGCTAGTGTGTCAGATGTTAAGAGAATATGCATATAGGGTGATTTTACCAAAAAACCACCAAGAGAAAACTCCTACAACTTAAAGGAGCCCTAACGGTGCACGCATTCCAGTCAACAGAAAAATAGATAAACTCTTTCAGGCGCGGTAAGCACTGGAATTGTAACTGGTTACACAGGCCAGTATCTTGCACTAAACGGGACTACAACAAATGTCAGCTATTTGCCATCTCGGTCAGGAAGATTGTGAGTCACCTTTAAGTGAAAATCTCCACTGACAGGTGTCTGCTCTGGTAGGGTTACCTTTTATAAGAGCAACATGAATCCATGTGTCAATGCCCTTAGGTTTCCTGGCACAGAGATTGGTCAATACGACCTGATGTGAGCCAGGTGCACTGTACATGCCTGTAGTCCCTCCCAGCTACTTGGAAGGATGAGGCAGAAGGATGGCTTGAGCCCAGGAGTTTGAGGCTACATGCATGATTGTATCACTGCATTATGGGTTGGGGAAAACTGTGAGATTCCATCTCAAAAAAAATAATAAATAAATAAAATAATAATAATACCTGATGTGGTCCCTTCCAACAGGCTTGGAGGGAATATTTTATTTGTTGTTGTTTCCAGTCAACAACATCTCCAGGTTATAGGCTATGATTTCTGATATTTTCATCTCCCATGAGTTCATCATGAAAGGAATCCTTTATTAATGAAGAGTTCTTCATAAGAAGTTTTGTGAGATCTTAGCAATAATGGAGAATGTCACCTAAGAAGTGCAGATTCTTAGAAGCAAGATGGAGTAAAAACAAAAATGACAGAAAAGAAAGAGGAAAAAGAAGAAAGAAAGAAAGAAAAGAAAGAAAGAAAGAAAGAAAGAAAGAAAGAAAGAAAGAAAGAAAGAAAGAAAAGAAAGAAAAGAAAGAAGAGAAGTGCAGAATCACAAGTGCCTTCATCTAACCTCCGCATGGGTCTTCCTGTTATTATTTCAAAGGGAGAGAGTGCAAGTTTTCCAGAACTCATGGGAGATCCTTGGTGAAGAAAGATTAAAAACATCTGTTTGCTTTGACCATTGGGTTTTTATTGTATCATTAGTGCACTCCACCGGCCCAGAGGATTAGGGGTGATAGGCATGATGCAAATGCTGGGACATAGGCAAACCTTACAAATGGATCCAACCACCTGACCGATGAAGTGAATTCCTCGGTTGCTATGGAGCTCAGATGGCGCCTTACGAGAAACGACTTTTTCTAATTACAATCTACCTGCTACTTCGGCTGTGGCCCATCAGCATGGAAATGCTTCCTTCACCCCAGTGAGAGCACATATGAATTAGCACCAGAAGGTATCTATAATCCCAGGACAGAGAGAGCTGGATAAATTTAATGGCCATGTCTTGAAGGGTCATAAAAATAAAATGTCCCGGCGACCTATGAAGCAGTTTCCAGAGTTACGTTTGGGACGAATAGTATGGCTAGAATAAACCTTTTGTGCAGTCATAGATGATGGTGGATGCCATTGCTTTCCCCCGCTAACATTTTGCCTGAATTCCAATGAGTCAGCTTATGAACTACTGTAAAGAGGGTAATTGAAGCCTAAGGGGTAGATCACTGTGTCACCGGGCCCATACCATATGCCTGTTTCTGGAAAACACTTGTTTCCTTTACCTTTCTGGAGATCGCTTTCCTGCTTGGGAGCTCCCAGTTATGCCTTTTTTATATTTTATTTTTCAAGAGTCTCACTCTGTCACCCAGGCTGTAGTGCAGTGGTGCAATCCTGGCTCACTACAACCTCTGCCTCCCAGGTTCAAGTGATTTTCATGCCTCTGCCTCTCAAATAGAAGGGATGATAGGTGTGTGTCACCACACTAGCTACTGTTTGTATTTTTAGTAAAGAC